ACTGGGGAAAGATGAACTAAGAACTGAAGAGCTTTTAAGAGGCACAGCAAGAACAAAAATCTTTAGGTAACAGGGAATTGAGAATTGTGGAGAGAAAAAAGAATGGGAACTATGTGCTACTGAAAAAATTCAGGGAGCCAAGGAAAACAGATACTTCCAACAGGCAGGAAGTAAATCTGGATGCTTGCAAGCTTTAAGAAAAAGCTCAAACAATAGAAAAAGCCTTTATCCTGATTAGGCAGTAGAAAAACAACTACCCTCTTTCAGAACAAATGTTGGTTAACTAGTGACAGATTTTTAAACTAGGACTGTGCATTTTGTTTTCAGTTCTATGATAATTGCACAAATCCTTTCAAATCTGACAAGTAGAACACTGCTCATTTGGAATGTATTTCCTAAAATACCATCCATGCTGTGCTGTTGCATTAGTGAAAGTGATGACTGGAAGAATGATTAAAAAATAAGTTGTTTACTTACAAGTATATGAGTTAATCTCTGCAGTAAGCTAAAGAATTTAACATATTCTAAGAATGTTTGTGTTTTCGTATTTCATGCTTGACTCAAAAAATTCAAGGAGCAAACCTCATTCTTGCTAAGCATCAGAATTTCAAATAATCTCACCAGATGAATTTGTTATATGAAGTTTACCTTCAGTCTTTTCCATTAACTTCAATACAGTTAGAAGAATGTGGTAGAACTAGCGTGTGTTCTGCTTCTAATTTGGAAAGGCTGGTCTAACCTTTGCAAGACAAAGATTCATTTTTCTAATTGTTCTGTACCTAAAAACATGCTGGGTCCTTAGACTAAGATGAATAATTTATCACATTTCTTGCTAAAGCTAAGAGGATGACTAATTATTATGGCATGTAACTCGCAATTCAAGCTATTATGGTGTCTGTGAATAAATTAGCAATATAAATGTAGTGAGTTCTGCTTACTGAAGATTTGAAAGTAATAAACCTGTATTTTCAAAAACAACAGTTTGAAAAATGGAAATAAGGTGTAACAATCTATATTCTACTGAACTGTTCACAAGCCCTGCAATAAAACTTACTGTGAGCAGGTGCAAATGCCTGAGTCGTGCAGGCATTTCATGCCCTTTTCATCTGCAGGATCCTCTATACGTAATTAGCTGAACTTTGACAGAAAACTTCTTAAAACTTAATATGAATGTTCTGGAATTTAAAACTGAGTTCTCACTTATTTGGTAAATCAAGAGTATCTCTTTGTATTATAAACCCCCAAACATGTGAACAAGGAATAAGTACCAGCCTTAAATTTGATGCATGCAGAAGCTTTTTTAAGAAAAAGAGGGATCAAATTTAAAATACAGATTCTCAACTTTAAATTGCAGAATGTAAGTCCTGCATACGGGGTGAAATAATCCCATCAGTATGGAAGGTTTATATAAAAAGAAATAAAAAGTACTGTAAGAGTGACTGAGCACTAGAACAGGTTGCTCAGATTCTCTGTGGACTCCTCATCCTTGCTGAGACTTCTAACCTGGTCTAGACAGTCTCTGGAGGCTTCTTCCACATTCAACCACTATCTGATTCTGTGAATGGCTGCAGCATTTTCTTATATTTTTCCTAATGACTCATGGTTGTGAGGAGAAAATAAGGGAAACAAACCGTAGTATCTCTATGTAACTACAGCGAATTGAGAAGAAAGCTGACAAGAATCAGGGAGGAACCAGTTGTGGGAGTAATTCCATTAATGACATCAGATGAAGGAAAACAATTGTTATGATTTTAACAAAACAAAACTTGCCATGTAATCTGAAAGATCTGAAGTGGTATTGATAAGCCTTCAGTTGAGTTTACTTTTCTTGCCAATGTGGGAAAAGACGTGTATCTATATAACAGCTGGATAGTTGTTAGCTTTTGGTACCCCTGGCAAATTTCATTCCTACCTTCTTCCAAGTTGCTACCCAAAATGAGGCGGTGCTGTAATGGGGACTGACCTCTACTCAGTAAATATTTATTAGCATCTAGACAAGAATACTTTCCTTCCATCACAACACAGTTCTGTATCCAAACTGTTATTCACAAAGAATCCTCTCCATAACAGATTATGATATTGGCTTTCTCTGCAGAGTATTTTGACAGGAATGAGTTAGAAATATGTATTAAAAACAGAGCTGAACACACAAGCTGAAACACAATTTATTATTGCATACTTCTATCCTGACTGGATGCCCAAATGCAGAATTGAGAAACTTCTCTTTTTTTGTCAAACACATTCTCTCTCTTAAACTGACCTCTATGCAGCATCAGGATAACTCAACAAACACTAAATTTGTCCTGTCAGCACAAACTAGCCTGATAAGTCAATATATTTTGAAGTTCACTCCTACTGTAAATCTTTGTGTGTTTAAAAGTAACATTATCAATGTTGACTTTTAATAATCTACTTTCAAAATAAATTAGTAAATGTTATTCCCACACACTCTATAATAAAGAACCTGGGGAAGAGAAAAGGTAGGGAGAATTACAAGGATGCATACAAGCCTATGTAGCACTTCAGTATGTAACCAGAAATTGAGCTCATATTCTTGTTCGTGCTTCAGACAACTCCACTTTTCTCTGTATTTTCTTTTGTTGGGGTAGCAATGGGACAATGTAGAAGTCTATTTTCTCACATTAGAAGCTCTACTCCTTTGCTATGAAACTTACTATGTAACTTACTAATTTCGTATGACATAGAACATATAAAACGAACCTGTAAAAAATGAAGTATAACAAATGACTGGCATTAGAGTACTTTAAGAAGAATGAATGTATTTGTGCTTGAAGAGATGCCAAGCAGAAGTGCTGGCACCTGCACATGTCCATATATTGGGAACTAAACCAAGAATACTAACTCAACCAGATGCTGTTTTCTTTTATGCACAAATATTTTCCAAACACTGAGTTACTTCTGCATTTCAGAAAGGTAGCAAAATCTGTAATGCTGAGGGTTTAACAACCAGCTACTGTATTTACAGCAGATGGCTATACCCAGAATTACTAATAGCTCTGCATTATTTGCTTCAAAAAGGCTGCATGCATAAAATGCTCATCACCATGGTTTGGTTTTTATTGTGCTTCACCAGATTTTCAATTCACAATTTATTTTACATATCTGTTAAGCAGATTGATACATAGATTGTTCATGTGTTCAATGTGTATTATTCATCTATTAATGCCCCATAACAACATATCTACATTTCTGCTTATTTTTTTTTCCAAACAACAAGCAAGACATAACTGAAACAGTTGTTTGTACGTTTAGTATTTATGACAGGAATCTCACATGACCAGTTCATAGGAGCAAGTTGGAAGGATGAGCTCCACTGATGCCAGCAGAGATAAATGGCCTTGCAGAAATTGTTTGCTGATGAATCACTAAATAAAATCCAGAAGAGGATGATGCTCAAACTAAATTCATAGCTATTCCTATCTATGCAGAATGGGAGGTGAAGAAATGTTGCATGGAGCATTGCATGTACGATTCTTAAAACCTGGCAAAGTGTGGTTTTTGTTTTCTCTACTTAGAGTAGATGTAATATAGCAAGCAGCATCTACAAATTTTCATGTGGAGCTGTTCAAAGATTCAGTAGTAAATAGTTGGAATATGTAAGAATCCACCTTGAACCATGAAACTCAAAGAAGCAAAAGTGTTATTCCACAAATGAGCCAGAGATTTATTTCAAAATATTAGAAAAAAAAAAAGTGAATGGTAGTCATCTATTATTAGTGGTAGGACTACCAGGAGTCTGTCAGCATGAAATGCAGTGTCTATTTTGCAAGACTTTGCATAGTTTATTGGCACATCAATAAATTACAGCTGATTTCCAATGCAACACATTAATTTTTTCAAATAAATTTTTATCTTCTGTGTATACACCTTTAGGAAGCTTCATTTACTTTAAATGCATTGGTGTACTTAAGTAATTATCAGAACAAGCACAATTTTATCATAACATAATTAAGTAGTGAAGCAGCACTAAATTAGTATTTATTCTTTTGTAGGAAAAAAACCCCAACAACTATGAAGATATATTAAAAGGGATTATTTCAGCAGTATAGATGGTAAATGCAATGCACATAAGAGGAGAGAACTAAGATATGAGCTCAAAAGAGAAAGGGCAGACAAAGATGGAATGAGTGGTAGAAAATTGGAATTCTCACAGTTATTTAAAAATAAAAGCAAGTGATGGGGAAAAGAAGTGGAAGAGAAGTGAAGTTCTTGGTAAGAGGTGTAGGTGAGCAGCAGAACCTTAGCAGAACCAAACCCAGTACAAAACCACAAGCAATCTAAAGAAATGTTCACAAACCTGGCACTAAGCCTCTACCATCTGTCTGTAGAAAGCCTGTGAGAAGCAAATCTGTGTACTTGGTTCCTGTTTTCTGCATGACATATCTTGTTTATTTAATCCTTTTTGCTACTCACTTTTCAAAGTGATACAGCAATTAAAACCAGAGGAGCAGGAAGTGTAACTAGAACTACAAACAGGAAATTCATCAAAGAACAGAAAAAGTACAGAAAGACAAACAAAAATAAAATCCACCATTGAGTTTACTCAGCTTAATTATGTATCATTTAACCTGTCTATACTAGCAGGGCTTCTAATGGCATAATATTTCTTTTGTTGATCCAATTATCAGAATATACGTATATTTTGCCATGAAGCAAAGGACCCTGGGAATAGGTATTATAATTTTTTTAGATGAATTTTCAGGAGATCTATGTGAGCCAGTATTTTGTTCAATAAATTCACGTCCCATTTCTTCAGAATTTTACCATCTTTGTTCTTAATTTCAAGTTTTTTTTTTTTCCATCTTCATAGGAATGTCAGCAGTTCAAATATCCAAGAAATAATGATCTCATTAGCTTAATTACTTCTTATTGACTTGATAAGTCACTGTGCTTTAATGGAAAATCTGCCATTACAATTAACGGCTGCAATCAGGCATCCACTTTACATTAAATGTTCAAGGAAATATTATGCATCTTACAGTAACTCAGTGGAGAAATCTTGTCCCAACGGCACCAAAATCTGAAGTGTCAGGAATGGTTGAATCAGTCCCACTAGAAACAGGGGGGAAAAAAATAATCAAAAATGTCCTCTGTGCATGCATCATATTTCACCATCAAGAACTGCAGTGCTGTTCTGTAGTGATGCTTCTGCAAGATCCATTTTTCTAGGTTAATGAAATGCATGAACATTAAAAAAAAAAGCCAATTAAAATTGCAGTGAAAGTGTTGTTTTAAAGGTCTCATCTGTAGTTTCACAGGAATTCTCATGAAATACAAGGAACTTATTTGCTAATGACAATTCTACATTGCATTCCAAGAGCATGTGGACGTCAAAAACCCTGTATTAATCGCAAAATAAAGTAATACATTCATATTAAGATTATCTTAAAGTCATGTGAAGTTCCCTTTTACATTTTTGACAATTCACACTTTCTAAAATCTTTCTTAAATGACTCTTAAAAAAAAAAAAAAAAAAAAAAAAAAACAACCCCAACCTTGACTACAAATCCAGTTTATTACAGCAACATTCAATGGAGGCTTAACTGTGGCAATGCAAGAAAACCCTCAGGTTTCTGTGAACCTTAGAATTTAAAGGAAAACAAAGTATAAAGTTGTGTGAATTGAATGTTGCATTTTTTTTTATTAACTACTTCATCAGTGAGGGTAAATACTGGTGTTCATTGCCTTGGAATATTCAACAGCAATGTTTTTTCTTCTAAAGAATGCTGAAGTGACAGCTTAAGATTTCAAATTGTATTTATATACTTAATGTATTTTATTTTAGAGTATTGCTAGATGGCACTACAACTTGGAGACCATGTATTTGATAAAAATGAAATACTTCAGGCACATACCTGAAGAGAGAAAGAGACAAAACAGGCACACGATGGGAATTTGACTATGGTACCACAGTGCTAGCTGAAGTTAATTTAAAACCAAACTATTAGCTGTGATCATCCACAACAGTAATTCTCAATCCTCATTTTAGACAGTAATAGTTTATTTTAATATTGACAATAGACAAATTAAAGTTGGATTTCCCAGAAGGATACATTAGTCTAATATCTATGATACTGAAAGTAATACTAAAGTTCTTCCATGAAAATCAGATTACTTTTCAAAGCTTTAATGCATGACCGAACTAAACAATTTCTCATTATTTTTATGTAAGTTTGAGATAAATAGTATTAATTGGTAATTGCATAGTGTGCATGAGAAGTGTATTAGAAGATTCCTGTTTCACTCAAGTAAAATCACCATCTCAATTTTTCTTCAAAATCAAGTGGTTAAATCTAAACCAGCATAGAACACTGCTATAAGCCTTATAAGGTACAACGCTTTGCAGTGGAATTTAAGGCATGAGTTAAGATGATTGCTTTTTGTCCACTGAATATAATGATTTTGATTTTAACAAGCAGATCTACCTCTTGAAATGCAACATACTTGACTATAATTTGGTGTGCTAAGAACTTTGACTCGATAACAAAGACATACTTGAATAAGGAATATAGAACGTATAAAAATACAGCATTATTCATGCTGCTTTTTGGGATTCCTTTTTGAGTGAAAAGTCACAACAAGGTGACTTAATAGATAATTTATACATTGTGATGACATCTTTTATTAGTCAAATTGAAGTGGAAAAAGTGTTTCAACACAGTCCTCCATACTCCTAAAGCTTATCTACCTTTTCCAACTGCATCACAACTAGTTTGCTGGGCATCAGTGTGTAGCAGGATCAGATACAGAAACAAATGCAGGTGAACAAGGACAATGCGAATGGGACCAAGCACCTTCCATAAAGAACTTATAGGGCATTTTCTCTGCCCTCTACTTAATTGTAGCTGATCTCCTAGGAAGTTGATGAAAAACCACTTTGTTAATACTGAATTAAGCCCAAATGAAGGGAGAATAAAGTTTTACATTTCAAGATAACCGCTTTGATAATCAGAGCAGCACCACAGATATTTCATTCTCTGATACTTACGAGTTTGTCTGGTTTCCTTTGGTAGCTGCATTCTGTTTAATTGACTGCTTCCTTCAAGTACAAAAACAAAGCCCTTTGTTTCTTTATCGTATTCCTACAAAAAAGAACAATAAATAATTATCAGCATTATAATATAATTCCTCACCTTACAATCAACCATATCGCCAACAAGCAGTTTTAGTTAAATACAGCAGCAGAATTCAGTGGAAGACATAGCACAGCAAGTATGATAGTTCAGAGATGATGGCTGTAATGCAATACGTCAAAATCTGTCATTTCCTTGCTCATATTATGAACAAACAGTGCTGACTAACACAATCTACAATCTAGTAGGACTGACTCAATCCATTAGATATAGAATAGTAAAATTACTTTTAAAATCAGTCCTTTTTAAATATTTGAACTGTAAGATTACACTGCAACAAACACAGTCTGCACACAGGAATAAAGTACTAGTTATGACTAATTATGACTGCTTATATGACAGAATTGTGGCAACTCCACAGTCAGTTTAAAACTCTCACTGCTTTTTCCTAAATTCCATACTGTAACATTTATAAATTTCATTAAAAACTTACTTTCCGAATAGCTGATGGATTACCAAAAATCCTCCATTTTGCTCCTGGGTTTTTGCCTTGAGCACTGAATATTTCAACAGATGGGCCACCCTATGATAAAATGGTTTAAGGATGCGTAATTTAATCAAATATTCAGCAGAGCATCATCACTGATCAAGAATATAAGGACCAATCCTGCCCCACAACGGTCTGTTACTATGCTCAGTATTACTGGTCAGACAAGTGCATTAATAACAATACATGTATTTACTAGAGGATCTAAAAAGCAAATCTATTGTAGAAATTCTGAGAGGATGCTGGAGATTGGCCGCTTATACTTAGATGCTCTATTTCTACAACTCTCCAAATAGAGATTTAAAACATACTTCTAAATGTTAAAAAATCCGTTGTATATTTCATGTTTTGTCCAATTTCCTAAGAAAACTAATTTAGTCATGCTGGTTCTGTCTACACACGTAAGTATGTCAAAAACATCTCCCTGTAACATTACTAGTAGATACTAAATTCCAGCTTGATTTGATAGAGCAGTTCATAAAATGCATAAAAAATTTCTGGGCTGAATTAAGTGACCTGATAGGAGACAGATGCTAATAGGATCACTGCATACAGATAAGAGCAGCACTTTGCTGCAGCCTTTATTTGGAACTAGAGAAATAATATGGGAAAGAGATTATGGTTACCTCTGCCAGATAAAAACTTCTTACCTTGAGCACATGCCCTATTAGACAGCAAACATTCTAACCATGCACATTTAGGGAAACAGGCTATAGCAGCTCTTAGGGAATTATCTGCTTTTTTTCATGTTACGAGTCATAGAAAATATTTTCTGATGGACTCAGACTACGATCAGCATTTGATCAACGTTTTTTTCAGCAGTGCCTTTGACACAATCAATCTCTACAGCTGTCATCTCTCCCTTCTAATTCTTAGCTGCAAGTACTTCCCAATGCTCCTTATGCTCAGCTGCCCAAACAATCGTACAGAAGTCAGTATGAGCAAGAGAGGTGAGCAGTCTTGCCAACAAAATAAATGCTCAAATTATGCTTTCAGGGAACATAAACTCTGCACTGTCTATAGATTTCCATCCTGTTTCCCCCCCTCCCCCAAGTGGCAGCTAAACCCCAGTGACTAAACTAAGTTCTAAGGAGATTTAAAAAGGCATTCCAAAAACAGCATCTTTAATATACATATTTTATATTCATAATGGATGAAAAAAAATTAAAATATATGATGAATTATTGATGTGAATGTTATCAGGCATATTTAAGGACTATCAGCTCAAGCTGTCAGAAAGTTAGAAAAAACAGTTATCTGCCAACTAGTGTATGTTTGTAGCAAATCTTTATAAACAAGTGGAGTTTTGTCCAAAATGTAAACATACACATCTTGGTAATGTTGCAGCCCTTGCAGACCCTGCTTCAGTTAAACTGACTGAAAAGGACACAGAAAACTATCAGACATGACGTGAGAGAATGCTGAACATAACAAGCACTGATGTGAGGAGCTGACAGAAGTTACTGACAGTGCTGTGATGGATGGCTGGATCTCATGGGTGGTTGGGAGAGTTATGCAAGAAACTGATGGGGCAGTAGGAGGCATCTTTGGGGGAGTACAGTCCTGCAGGGCAGGAATACCAAATAAAGCTGAGACAGACTGCATGACTGATTCAGAAATGCTAGTTTGGGGTATGGACTGGGTGGGAGGAGATGGACCCTCTCTGGCCCATATGGAAAGAAGCAGATAAGAAACTGCTGCTATCTCCATTGGTATCTATTTCAGACCTGATAGCACCAGCAGGCACCCACTATTTCATAACATTTCTGTAAAAATACTGAACAGTTAAACCAGAGAAAACATTTCTGTATCTGGACTTTTCCACTCCTTGCAAATAAGCCATTTTAATTGAGTTCTCTCAAAGATGAAATGAATGAGGGTACAAAATAAAACTATTTCTGTTTTACCTGATACTGATTTTTGAACATTTTCCAGTTTTCCAGCTTTCACAGCAAAAAAAAAACAACTTCAGGTTTTCTATCAGTAAAGACACGCATTACCCTGCAAATAAAAAAATAAAAACTTTGTACAGGATTTGACATGAAAAAAATCCAAACGCAAAAAACCACAATTACTGTAGAAGATATGAATACTGCTCTTGAATATTTTCCAAGAGAAGAAAATCAACCACATAGGAGGGCTACGGGGCTACCAGAGATAATACTTTTTTATACATTGGCTGCTTAATGCTGCCTTTCCTTACATTCCAAGTTAAAACACTAATTTTATCATTAGCTGTTATTTTTAACAATGAAGCTTCATGCTTTAAAAATGTGTGAAAATAACCTCTCATACACAGTTTTAAAAACTATTCCTTGTTATCAAGTGCTCACTGGAAAACATCAGAACTCCATTAAGAGGGGCTCAACATTTAATACAGGAAAACAGAGTCATACAGAACAGCTGCAATAGAAACCACTCCATCTAGAGATCTTTGGCAGGGACTTCTTAGGCAAAATTATCTTTCTTCCAAACTCAGCAGTCTCCTTTGAGGATGATTAGTCTACGGCTCAAACTGAGCACTTGTTGGCTATTCTGAGAGCTGCTAATGTCAACAGAGTTAAGGGATGCCAGCAGTTGGAGAATCAGAGGAGTAGAAAGTGAAGGGATTAGTAGGGAAGCCTCCCACTTCTCTATTTGATCATGCTGAGTATCTGCAATTTCACCTGAAGTCAGCAGAAAGCGAAGAGACCCTGAACGTAAAAGTCTGTCTTAAGAACAGGTAGAACCACTCACAAGAGGTAACAGGCGCTTTTCCTGTGGAAACAGAATGCTCATCAACACACAGAAAGCAGCATTTCACAGGACGGTGCCTCTAGCTCATTTGATGTAACTTGGTTATGTACCTCACTGCAGCACAGAGTACTTACAGAATTAGTTTCACTTTCTGGAGTTCTTCAGAGCCTGAAATTCTTTTTTAAAGATCAAAACAATGGTATGCTGACCAAGAGAATATAAGAATCACTTCTCAAGAACACTTTAGTTACAATGCTGAGCTCTCACAACCAGAAAGTGACAAAATGTTTACAATATTATAAAATGTCAGATAACTGCAAATAGATTAGGAATTCAGCGACTTCATAAACAATTCAAACAGTTGAGGAATTGGAACAGCATTCTATTTCAGAAAGTATATCACCGTTCGCTTAGGAAATATGATGAAATCTGTTAATATTAAACAGCATTCTATTTTAACCAGGGGCAATTATTGTAAGTCTTAATGCTAAATGAAATAAAAATGGAAAGAAAAATCAGAAATTAGAAACTTATTTCATGCTGCTGCCAGAAACATCAGTTCATTTTCAACCTTTTGATTAGGAATAAAATGAAATTTAGAAAACACAGAAGTTGTGATGAGCCTATCAAAAACCAGTAAGTATTCTGACTGTGTTACTTTAATACTGTCACCCCACATCCAACAAACAAGTTGCATTATTCTGCTTTTTTACATAATTTTTATCTAAAATTTCCAGATAAAATCTATTTTTTTCCCTTTAACAGTGACTACATTAAACTAATAGCTCAGAAATGTGAAAGCATTTCTAGAACAAGTATTATTCCTTCTGTATGTGCTCATTTTGCATACATATTGTTTGGGAAATCACTATTTACTTTTTTTTTTTTTGGCAGTCTTATCTTTGCAGTAACCTACAAGCCTTGGGCAAGGCCAAACTACTCAAAATTCCATTATTCATGTTTTAGTGGGAACTGAGGAACTAATCTTAGGGACCTACCATTTCGATTCGCTTTGCCAGAGCTAAATGTGAAGGACTGCTGGTGAAGGGAAAGCGGGAAGTCTTGGCCTCCTAGGGTATAGATATTATTGAGCGAAGGAGGTACAAAGGAAGACACTATTTTTCCTTGGAGCAAATCCTTTACTTTGACTGTTGCTTTAAAACTCAGTTCCAGTTTGGCCAGGCATCATGCATTTAACATAACGCTTATGTATTCTGTGGCTCTGCCATGCCTTATTATACCTCAGGGAAAAACAATATACCAGGATTCCTCACATTTATTTAGGTCTGAGTCACTGTATGTAACGTATGAAGTCCTAGGACTGAACAGAACAGCTTGTCTCTGAGAGATTACTACCAATGTTATTGTGGTCAGAAATCTGCTGACTGTAGTCATACTGTATATTTTGGAAGAAATATTAGCATGCATTATGAAGGGGCCGAGTTCCATCCTCCTTAGCACAGCACCTTTCAGGAGGGAAGGCAGGGCAGGAAGCTGCAGCATACGCACGTACTGCTGTATTTAGAATTACACAGAAGATATGGAAAGTAATTCTTTATTTTCTTCACTGTTTTCTCATAATGTGTTTTTCACAGAACCCAATCCACCAACAGCACAGCCTGCAGTTGTGAAAATAGGTGCAAAGTGCTTTGTGTGAAGTGCAAGGTAGGTGGAAGCCATGTTGATATATTGGGTTCAATGCTGTACTAATACACTTTGTCTCTCAGCAGTGCTTATTAGCTTTGGCTTGACATCGTGCCAATTCATCTCCACGGTGTATTGAATGGAAATAGTTCTTGGTTGGCTCTGAGCACAAAAGAGTGTGCGTGCACTGGTAAAACACAATGGAGACATGCAAATATCACAGTAAGACCCTTATGCTGATCATTTTTAAGTTTAAGTGGAGAAAACGTGCCTGAACAGAAAAGTTGAGATGATGTGCTTAAGAAAAGGTAGAGAACATGATCAGATAAAGACTTTCAATGGATCACAGAAAGCACAGAAATATATACAAAGAGATAACAGTAAGTGCAAAGTGCAGTGGTAATAAAAATGCAAAAAATCTGTGAGGCAAAGAGCACTTACTGTGGGACTACAAATCTCACAACTAGAAATCTTTAATATTCGAGTCATCAAATAAAGCATATTGCTTAAAATATGGCTTAACATTTTTCACCAAAGCAGTTGTTTTTTGAACGGACACACGTATATGCTAGTTAATTATTAATTTGCAGAATATATTTTGAACAGATTTAGAAAAGCCTCCTAACTCAAATTCAAAATGACATGGCTCTTTGTAACTTCAGCTGAAGGTGAATTAGATCCAAAGTTGGTAAATAGTTGTGTTGGGACAACTTATTTACAGTACAAAGCTGATTACTGCGAATGCATCAGGGAAACGTCAGCTTGCTTTTCATACAGACACAGAAGACTGCAAGAGAGATATTTTTGATCACATATTACTTGTTAGTTCCCAGTTTCCATGAAGTTACTGCAAAAGAAGACTAGAGAATACCTTTGCTATTAAGATTGATAGCTACTAAAAATACTAAGTGAATTACTTATTTACAGTGTAATTAATTACAGTGATAATATTAAAGAGGCGCTTTGATGATGCCTTAAATATGTTGTCTTTTAGTTAAAGAAAACTATGCTTTAGAATAGGTTGGAAAACTGATAGTTGCAGTAGTTTCCTTTTTTTCATTGTTCCTTCTCCTACTCTTTATAAAGCCTAAACGTGTAAAGAGGGCTTACTTGAAATCCAGAGGGATTATTTTTGAAAAAAGAGGGACTATATGGCATCTTAATATTAGTCCTCTACTTTTTGTGTATTTTTCAAATAAATAGGCTCTTAATGACATCTCTGTAGAATGCTGTGGTTCAGCAGCTCCATATATTTCTTTCACCGATCATGATTACTTTCTATTACCCTGAACCATGTATGTTTGTTCAATTGGAAATAGGGGCTTTAAATATCAGTCAACAAACGATCAGAAATGTAGTTTATAAAGTTATGTAACAATGAAATATATTTATCTTTGGAAGAACAGATTCCTATCAGGATTTATGTCATGAGGTCTTGATCTGTACACTGACTTTGATAGTTTCACAATGTTTCCCAAACCAAAAATGAAGCAGCAGCAGTCCAAATGGCCCCAAATCCTTTTTTTCTTATGAACCACTCAGGATCTGGCAAAAGTTCTAGGGAGTCCTTATATATATTTTTTTTTCCTTCTTCCAACACTTTAAACAAACAGTAAGCAGACCTCTGGGTTTCTTTATATTACTGATTGCTGAGTACTGCTGTAACCCCAAGGCAGACAGTGAGACAACAGAAAAACCTTCCTAGTCACAGCCAGTCCCTTGACTTCAAAGGGACCACATGCACAAACATATGACTATTTTTTTCTGATCAGTGTCCCAGAATTGAAAAATCTGTGTTTGTTTATTTTTCTATTCCAAAGACAAAAGTGTAAGGCAAAGTTAGGGCACACCTACCACTAATCTGCACTGAAAAATGCCCAAAGCCCACTGCTTTTGGCAGGGAACAGTGCTGAGAGCCAGCCCTGCTGATCCACACAGCTCACCATCATGGGCCCAAAGCCAGCGCTGATTTATGGCAGGCTGGGACACACCAGGGAGAGCAGTTCATCACTGCTGAAGGGTTTTACCATCTTCTAGACAAATGAATTTCACATATTGAATATTTAAAGCTGGGTTTGCAACACGGCAATACATTTTCTCAACACACAAGTTAACGTAATAAACGGGGAGAAAGACCATTAATAAACTACAGCAAGACTACCAGCGTCCCTATGCCAGCAGCAAAGCTTTAACGCACCAAGCCCGCACAGCCCCTGGTGCCACAACAGCGCTGACGCCGTGCCGCTCCCCCGCCCCTCCGCCGTCTCGGCCCTCCCACTCCGCCACACCCCCGCCGCCGGGGCCGGGGTCGCTCGGCTCGCGGAGCTCAGCTCCGGCCGGGTCTCACCTGGGCGAGGGCGGCTTGGGAGGGTAGGCCGCTCCTACGGGGGAGGCGGGCGGCTGGGCGGGGATGGGCGCGTTTAAAATGGCGGCGGGCGGGATGCGGCGTTCTCGCTGACTGGGCCGCGGCTGGCGGCCGTTAGCTGTGCGGAGCCGAACGTTCTTGTTCGTTGCGGGCCGCCCGCAAGGCTTTTTCCCACAGAGCGAGTTAAGAACTGGGTAATCATGCAGACTGAGGGCTGGGACGGGCACTGGCGGGGTGACGTTTGTGTCCCTCAGGGTGCGCGCGGTGCGTGGCGGCCACGTGAAGCGGTGAAGCACAAATGTGACCAAGAAATCTCCTGGCAAAGCTCTTTGGCCACTTAATCTAAAAGACTAACTCGTGGGTTTTTTTTTTTTTTTTTTTTTTTTTTTTTTGAGAAGAATGTGGGAAGCCACATCCCTGCCCCTGTTTTTTAAGAAATTAATTAACTTCTGTTTCTTCAGTTTAAAAGGAGGTAAGGACAGCCCCGTTAGTTTTAAGCTTTTGTCAAAAATAAGATTTCTTGATGGCTTCAAAGACCTGTAGGAAGAAGGTGTCAGGAGACCAATTTGATTTAGGATTGCAGAACGAGATATTTGTTAAAGAACAGTGCTCCCTGGAATGACTGCTCTTTTGATTACAGTGTTTCCTTGTGGAACTTTGCAGCCTTTTCACAAAAAATAACAGAATGCCTTTTTCTTAAAGTGTGTCTTCAAGTTTCTATAAGGAACGATTGTTGAGAACTGTAACCTGTCACGGTGGGATGAAGGTCACACATGGAATTAAGGTGCCGAGCCACCAGATTGTTGGGCAGTGTTTCAGCCCACCTTCACCCTGTTCACAGAATCACGGAATGGCTCAGGTTGGAGGGGACCTTAAAGACCACAGAGCTCCCACCCCGTGCTGTGGGCTGGCTGCCCCACCAGCTCAGGCTGCCCGGGACCCCATGCATGGCCTTGAGCACCTCCAGGGATGGGCACCCACAGCTCTGGGCAGCAGTGCCACTGCCT